AGAAAGCAGAATGGCAGTAGCAAGAGGATGGGGTGGGGAGAATAATAGTGAGGTAAGTGTTTAATGGAACAGAGTTCCATTTACAAGATGAAAAATGTGTGAATGTGTCATAGATAACTGTTGTGTCTACTTTAGTTAAAAAGGAAAGCATGCCCAACTGATCGGCTTAGCATAGTTCTGGGGTATGAATGAATGGATTTACTGAAGACAGAAGACCCACCCTAAGTATAAGTGACACCAGCTTGCCTGGAATAAAAAGGGAAGAAGGCATTCTTGTTTCTGTGTCTTCAGAGGAGCTCCTGTTTTCACCTTCACCTTGAACATCCATTTCCTGGCTTCCAATGCAGACTCTTCAATCTTCCAGCACAGACCCTTTAGCTTCCTGATATGAACTCCCATGGGGCTCTGTAGTGAGCTCCAAGGCCTTCACCTTTTGACTGGATCCTTTGGATACAGACCACCCTTTTACACTCTTCTACACCTGACTCTGCAGATGGCACTACAAGCCTACCTTGCAAATTCATATGTGTATCTTATATTAAATCTATTTTTCTTTTTTTAGAGTAGGAAAAAATTATTTAGAGAAAAGTAGCTTCTGTCTAATAAAGACAGAAAATGGGCTACCCTAAATCTATTTTTCAAGAGAGCACTGACTAATACAGGGTAAATGGCGGTAATGGGTGCAATCAGTGTAAAAGCACTTACTGCTACAGAACTGCACCCTTAGAAATTGTTAAATTGTAAATTTTACATTGTGTATATTTTGTCCTATTTTAAAATGAAATCCATTTATTTTTTTAAAAAATAAAAAGCATCATAAGTAAGCAGGACTTATCCCAAGTACGTCGTAAAGTTGGCCAAACATTTGAATCCCTGTAAATACCACATCAAAAAATTAAAAGAGAAAAGCCATATGATCATCTCAATAGATACACAAAAAACATTTGACAAAAACTTAACACCTACTTTTGATTAAAAACTCTCAACAAACTAGGCACAGGAAAGAAATTTCTCAAACTGATTTTTAAAAAACTACAGCTAACAACATGCATAGAGGAGAAAAACTAAATGCTTTCTACATAAGACCAAGAGTAAGGAAAGGATTCCACTCTCATCATTTTTAGGCAACATTACACTGAAGGTTTAGTCCATGAAACTGGATGAAAAATATCCAGATTGGAAATGAAGAAATAAAATTCTTTATTAGAAGATAACACAGTCATTTCTTTAAACAATTCAATGAAATATACTCAAACTAATAGCTTACCCAGACTGCAAAATATAAGACCAACATACAAAATTCAAATATATTTCTACATTAGCAACTATCAGAAACAGATTTTTTTAAATACTATATATAACAATATCAAAATATATGAAGCACATAGGGCTTAATCTGAAAAAAATAATGTGTAAAAAGACACTAAAAACTGGAAAATAAAAAATATTACTTAGATAAACTTAAGAAAGTACAAATAAATGCAGAGATATACCATGTTCATGAGGTAAAAATGGGCAAATTAACTGAATAGGTACTACTCAAAAGAAGAAGAAATGACCAATAAGTATATGAAAAAAATGTCCAACATCTTTAGCCATTATAGAAATGTAAATCAAAACTACTTTGAGATTCCACTTCACTGCAGTCAGAATGGCTATCAAGAATACAAAAAATAAGGGGTGAAGGGAGGGCAGGGGTATTGGGAAAAAAAATGAGAACCAAGATCTGTCATGGAAAGGTACAAGATCCCAATGATGAACGTAACTGTACTGTATACCTAAAAAGTACCAATAAACGCAATTTTAAAAAAAATACAGGCCTCCCTGAGCTGCTTGGCTCTGGGAGTGCCATCTGGCCAGACTACTAAAGGTCTGTTCCCTTTCCAAAAAAAAAGAATACAAAAAATAAGGGGTGAGGATTTAGCTCAGAAGTTCTGCCACCTGCCTCACTAGAGCAAGGACCCAAGTTCAATTCTGGTACCAAAAATAATAATAATATTAATAATAATAAATGCTGGTAAGGATGTAGGGGAAAAGGAATCCTCCCCCACTGTTGGTGGGAATGTAAACTAGTACAGCCACTATGAAAATCAGTATGGAGATGCCTCAAAAACCTGAAAATAGAGGGGCCGGAGATTTAGCTCAGTGGTTCCGCTACCTGCCTTGCAAGCACAAGGTCCCAAGTTTGATCCCCAGAACAAAAAAAAAAACCCTGAAAATAGAAATACTTCCATTTGATTCAGCTATGTCATTCCTTTGTGTATTCTCAAAAGAATTAAAGACAGCATATAATAGTAATACATATGTATCCACTATCACAGGGGGCCAATTCACAGTAGCTAAACTGTGGAACCAGCCTGGCTGCCCATCAACAGATGAGCAGGTGAAGGAAATATGCATATTACAGCCTTAAAAAGAAATAAATAATAACATCAGTGAATTTCTAAATAATTATGCAGTGTAAAACCCAGACCAAAATAGAGTACATACTGTATTAGTCTACTCATATGAAATACCAGAAAATGTAAGCTTATCTATAGTGACAGAAAGTGGACCAGGGGACGCAATGGTATGGAGAGCTGTGGGAGTGAAGGATTGTCAGAGGGCACTGAGATGATGGATATGTTCAATATCCTGATTGAGATGATAGTCCAGGGTATTCATTTTGAATATGTGCAATTCGTTATGACAATTACACCTCACTAAAATTATTTTAAACAAATTTAAGCAATTGAAGTGATTCTTTTTATAAAGAGTAGTCCATTTATTCTATGTGTCCTAAATTCTAAGAATCAGATGGAACTACCAGAGGCTTCATGACTGGATTATGTTTTCCCTGAAAAATAAAATGTTGTGAGCACACAACTCTGGGAGACTGAAGCAGGAAGATCACAAGTTCAAAGCCAATCTGGGTGACTCAGCAACTTAACAAAACTCTGTCTCAAAATAAAAATTAAAAATAAAGGGGATCAGGGATTTAGTTCACCAAAAAAAACTACAAAAAGTAGGAACTGACCCTTATATAATGCCCCATATGATTTCCACTTAGGGATAATGTATTTTCTTCTTTTCAATAATGAAATCTATGTAACTGGTCATATTTCTTTTTACTCTAGCAACTTAAATATTAATAATGGTTATTATATTTGTTACTATTTATTTCTTTTCCCTAGGTTCTAATTCTCCACTATTTTCCATCATTTTACCATTATTTCACATCTATGGCTTTATCAGACACAGATCACCATTATGTTTCTTATTATTCTTTATGTATATTTCATGTATCATAAAATCGATCCTTTTAAAGTGTACTTTTCAATCACTTTTTAGTATACTTACAAGACTGTGCAACCATCACCATTATCTAATTCTAGAACATTTTCCCCACCCCTCCAAAAGAATGCTGTGCCTCAGCCCTTGACCACTAATCTACTTTCAGTCTACATGGATTTGCCTTTCCTGGATACTTCATGAACATGGAGTCATATAATACATGCCTTTTGTATCTGGATTCTTTGATTTAGTATCATGTTTTCAAGTTTCACCCATGTAATATATTCCAGTACTGCTTTCTTATGGCAAATAATACTATTATACACTATTATATGGAAATACCATTTTGCTTATCCATTCATCAACTATTAGACATTTGGATTGTTTCCATGTTTGGACATTATAAATAATGCTGCTGTGAAGATCTGTGTAAACATTTTGTACAGGCATATGTTACCAACTATCTTGCACAGATATCTAACAGTGGATTTTCTGAGCGATATAAAACTATGTTTAACTTTTCAAGAAACCACCAGCAATGTATGAGGGTTCCAATTTCCCTACAACCTTGCCAACACTTATCGCAAGCATCTCTTTGTGCTTTTTCTTTTTTTCTTTTTCTTTTTTTTTTTTTTGGCACCAGGGATTGAACTCAGGACGTTATGCTTGAGAGGCAGGTGGGGGCACCACTGAGCTAAATCCCCAGTCCTGTGCTTTGATTTTCATTTCCCTAATGACTCATGATGTTGAACAACTTTTCATGTGCCTATTATTCTAGTTTAAATTTGTGCTTTTATCATTTTATTGACTCCAACTCTTTTTAGAAGGAAGTTGGTTATAAATTATCAATACATAATAAGTGTTGCAGGATATATAGCGCACACTTTAAGTCCCAGAATTCTGGGAGACTGAAGCAGGAGGATCACAAGGTCAAAGCCAGTCTGGGTGACTCAGCAACTTAACAAAACTCTGTCTCAAAATAAAAAATAAAGGGGATCAGGGATTTAGCTCAGTGGTTCCACCACCTGCCTTGTAAGCACAAGGTCCTGAGTTCGATCCTTGGTACCAAAATAAAAATAAAAATATAAACAAATAAATCAAAAAGAGCTGAGGATGTAGTTCAGTGTGAAGACCTTTGGTTCAAACTCCAGCACTGCAAAATAATAATAATAATAATAATAATAATAATAATAATAATACAAACTAATATTTCTTTCTTAAAATTATACTACACCTGAGGTAATAGAATGAGTTCTGAGCTACCAAAGCCTTTTCATAGTTTAAGAAACTCCTAAAAATAAAAAGTGACACTGTAACATTTAACTAAGTGCTTTTCATTTCATAAACAAGAATTAATTAAGAGGGTAGTATATTATTAAGAATACTCCATAGGAAATCCTTTACAATCCAAGCTACAAATTTTCCAAAGTAAAACGAAAGAATAGTAAGCATTCATTTTTTTTTCAGTACTGGGGATTGAACACAGGGAGCACTGAGCTGTATCTCCACCAGTCCATTTCCACTTCTTTCTTATTTTGAGACAGGATCGTGCTAAATTGCCCAAGATGACCTCTAAATTGAGATCCTCTTGCCTCATCTTCCCAAGAAGGTTGGATTATAAGTGTACACCACCATACCTGGCCACACATACATACATACATACCATAAGAAATGTATTTTTACTTTGAAAAATGTAAGGTTTACACCATCACAGAAAAAGACCTTACCATCTTCAATGGCATTTTTTATGGCACGAAGTCCATCTCTTATGGCATCCTTGATTAATGTGAGAGTATGCTTATTTGGTCCCTTGATCAACAAGGTGACAGAGCGAGGGTTAACACAATCCTCTATAAAAGTGAACTTTTCTTCACCCTAAAGAATGATGTGCAAAGACACAACTTTAGGGCTGGGGAATAAGGCTCAGTGGTAGAAAGCTTGTAGACATACACGAGGCCCTGGGTTGATCCCTGGCAGTGCAAAAAAAACAAAAAAACAACAAAAAAAAACTCCATAACTTTAATGGTTAATGTCATGAAATAAACACCTAGTTTATATTATAACCCAATCTTGATGTGAATTTTTCTTATCAAACATAACTAAATATATGTTTAAAAGTAGTTAAGTTACACTTGAACTCTTAATATTTAGATAAATAAGTTGTCCTGTGGGTTAGTCAGATCTCCAAATGCAAAATGTGAATTAAAAGGTATTTTTAAAAAGGCTCAGTGTTCATTATACAAGTACTCACTAACGTATATTCAAATACGAGACCAGCATGTCCCAAACAATCTATATCAAGGTCTTCAAGACAATTCACAGCCATTCCACCACAAGCAAGAGTGAGTCTGAAATTATATAACATCACCATAGCTTCTATTATGAAAACATAAATGCTAAATTCTTACAGATAAGAGAATTAACACAGAAGACTGCATTATTGTATAAATTATACACAACATGATATTTTAAATGTCTATAGTAGAAAGCCTCATTTGAGCTAATTAACATATGTATTATCTCTCAAGGTTAGCATTCTTATAGTGAGAACACTTATATCTACTCAGTTTTTTTCAACAATAGTGTTATTAATTACAGTCACCATGTTATACAATAGATCCTTGAATTTGTTTATTCTTCCTATGCAAAAGAAATCCTTTGAACAACATCTCCTAAATTCACCAACCTCCCCACTGCCTCAGCCCCCCGGTAATTACAATTCTTTTATCTACTTCTATGAATACAACATTCTTAGATTCCATATATAAGTGAGGTCATGCAGTGTTATATTGTTTTCAAAATCTGTTTTAAAGAGAAAGGAAACTTCCTGATACTTCAACAAAGTTCTGAAATACATTAACAACCTTGATTTTTGACAGTTTAAATTATGTATTGAAATTAAAAACAAAATTTAAAACTTGTACACTAATTTGCTCACATTTACTAATAAGATAAAAGGAATACACATGAGAAAATTTCAATTTAATCTGTTAAAAATCTTGGGCTAGATAATTTGCAAGCTTACCTTTCCATATTTCTTCTTTTTGCTCGGCGAAGAGCTACTATTCCATGTTTTGCAAGAGTATCTAAGGAAAATGGGTCAATTCCCTATAATCAAATTAACAAAAATTATAAACATGTCTTTTGTCTTTTGATTTGGGAGGGGGTTGAGACAGGGTCTCACTATGTAGTTAAGACTGACCAGAGAACTCACTATGAAGCCCAGGCTGGTCTCGAACTCACAGCAATCCTCCTGCCTCAGCCTCCCAAGTGCTGGGATTACAGGTGTGCACCTCCATGCCCAACTCTGTCTTTTGATTTTTGATTTTTGCTTTTCTTTGGACTGAATACATAATAGGCCACTGTTCTACCACTCTGAGCCACAACCTTAGCCATAAACATATTTTAAAACAATATTTCTCAAACTTTATGGACTTGGTACTATCTCATACTCTTAAAAATTAAGAACCCAAAGAGCTTTCGCTTATGTGAACTGTATCTATATTTATCATATTATAAATTTTTGAATCATATTATAAATTAAAACTGGGAAGATTTAGAATTTTTAATACATTTAAAGTAGTAACCCATTTTATACTAATGAATACTGTTTTTTAATGAAAATTTACTATACTTTCCAAAATTATATTCATATATGAGTGACATAATTTTGTACATCTCTTTAACATCTGTCTAAATAGAAAGTTCTGCACTCAGTTTGGTATTATATGGTATTTTGGTTCAATTATAAAAGAAAATCTGGCCTCATGCAGATAAATATTGGAAGTGGAGGAATATTTTAATACCTTTTTCAGATAACTGTGGATATGCTTCTCTTACAGTATGTATATACCAAAACTCAACAAGGAATACATAGTTTCTCAATGGTTACTCTCTATGTGGAATATTGAACCATGTCAATGAACTTTGCAAACTCACATTAAAATCCAATGGTCTTATACATTAAATGGGTTATTTATCAATGCATAATTTTGTAAAATCATGCATTTATTAGTCATTCACAAAATATTGGTTCCCTGAGTTAGGCTCAAATATTATATCAGCAACAAATACTTTCAGGTGTTTTCCTTGAGAGGATAATATTGTTTCATTTTTAAGAACAATCTACCAAATACCCAAATCTAAACAACCATAATTTGTCTGTCAGTCACACTTCTAAGTAAAAATGGCTTTCCATGTCAAAAGTAGCTCACTCAGCTCACAGCTCAGTTATACAGGGCTTTTCCCACAAGACGCCATCACATTGGCATACAGAAGAAGTGACTCATATTTTTTGTCACAGAATTATAAAAGGATGCATACTTGAGAAACAAACTTGAATAAAATTAGTAAGCTTTACCACCTCATTCGGACATTCTTAAATGAAATTGCCTTTTCTTTACCTGCAAGTATGTGGTGGCATGGCAATAAAGAACATGACGACTACCAGCACAGTTTGGTGCTACTGCTTTATTTGTACAAAGGTGCTAGCAGTTCAATGTATTGTTGCTTACTACCACTGCAAATGTCTGAAGAGTGTAAAAGGTATGATTAATATGAAAATAATTTTTACTTCAGATACCGTAAAAGTCTTAGGGACCACCAGGAGTTCACTTTGAGGAATGCTGGTGACAATTTACAAATAATTAAAATCTAAATTAGCTTTCTTACCTTTTGATTAATGACAACAAATCCCTTATTGGAATTAGCACAGACTTTGTCTTTCAGGTCTATTATTTTTTGTACTCTATCTTCAATAAATTTTCTTTCACCTTTTACCAATTTCTCTTTCTCTGCTGCAGTCTTATAAAAGAAACCAGAGCTCACCTCTCTAAAAGATTAAAAAAAAAAAAAAAAAAAAAAAAACAAGCTAGTAAAGGCACAGAGAAAAACAGAGGGAAAACTAGAAGTCTATATTAAACATCTGGGAAGGAAGAAATATATTTTAAAAAGCCTTATAAGCACAAGGTCCCATGTTTGATTCCCAGTACCAAAATAAATAAAAGCCTTTTAGGGGAAAAAAAAAAAAAAACAGCTTCAAAAGTTATAAAGATAAATGATATGGTGGGTAGGGTAGGGGAAAGGTAATCAGGGAAAAGAAAAAAATATGAGAAAATGAAAAAATGGAAATAAAGTGTAAATGGGGAGGGAAAGAGGGGGTGAAGGGAGGGCACGGACAAGGGGAAAAAATGAGAACCAAGACCTGTGATGTAAAGGTACAAGATCCCAATAATGAATGTAACTGTACTGTATACCTAAAATGTACCAATAAACTCAATGAGGAAAATTAATTAATTAATTAATTAATTAAAAAATGAATGATATGGGCAAAATAAACACTACATATTGAATCCCCCCAAAAATATGCAACTGGAGAAATCGAGGCAAGGGAGTGGTTATATATGACATAAGTATATTATGTCCATGTACGAATCTGCCAAAATGAGACCTGTTAATCTGTACAGCCAATGAAAAAATGAGTCAAAACTAAGAGAGAGAACTGAAAACATACGTTTTTTCATATTCTAGTGATACATTGCAAGTAAGGATAAATGCGTCTTCCACTCGCTTCTTCATATCTGGATGACGGGCACCATGATCCAAAACTAATCCCCGGATCAACCTATTAAAATATGTAATACTTCTTACTTCATTTTTAAAAATTTTTATTAGTATATATTTGCCATTTATAGTGCTCACAGTCATCACAGGAAATTTGTACCAATTTCTCCTACTTTGAATATACACTCTAAAATTTGGTATAAGATTAGAATAATATTCCAAATTGAAACAAAACAGACAGGAAGCACATTGTTTCTTTGTGACAACTTCAAACCTAACATATAATTAGTAAAATTAGGAAAGAAAATCTACTTAAACACAGTATGACTGTGAAGTCACAATGAAAAGTCAAACCAGAATTATTCTCTACGCTGTACAACTCAAAAATATAACACAGCTGATCAAATCATGAAAGGTAGGCACACAATGAGTTTTTTAGGAACATTTGATCAAAATAATTATATAGAACAACAAAAAATTTTAATCTAAATGTCCAACAATAGGATATTGTTGTGCAAATAATGACCCAACTATTTGATAGTCATGGAAACTATGCAGTAACATGCAAAAATATTTACAGGGCTAGCTGATAAGACAGAAGGACAAATTGTATAGAAAACATGATTTTAACTATTCTTTTTTTTAAGACATCTTGGCATTCAAAAAAAAGGAACCCAATAGAATTAGGCTTCAGTAGTAGGGATATGGATTTTGGAAAAAGAGGCTTTCTTCCTTCTGTTTACCAAATATTCTTTCTAGAGTAAATAATTTTATAACTTTGTAAAGGTCACTTACATAAGTTTAAGGGATGGCATTTCCAGTTAAGAATCTTATAGAGTCAGATACGGTGGCGCACACCTGTAATCACGGCACTTGGGAGGCTGAGGCAGGAAGATTGCTGAGTTTGAAGCCAGCCTGGCCTACCTGGTAAGTTCAACACCAGCCTGAACTATGAACGCCAGCCTGAACTACATAGGACACCCTGTACTAAAAATTTTTTAAATCTTTTATAGTCAATAATTATTATATAATAAATAGGTATTTTAATAGTGCAATATAATTATAAGGAAGTTTTCAAATGTTTACTCTAATTCCAAACTGAATGCGAACATATTTCATTTACAAAGAAATTATATGTCCAGCATTCTTTACTTTTCAAGTCTCCTTCATTCTTCCTCTCATGTAATTCTCATCAAATGACCTTCTTTTTTGTGTGTGTGCACCAAGGATCAAACTCAGGACCTTGTGAGGCAGGCAGCAGAACCACTGAGTTAAATCCCCAGCCCCTTGACCTTGTTGTTGTTTTTTTT